GAAAAAAGAAAAAAGAAAAGAAAAAGTTACTCATGGTCAAACCTGAACCCATTACCAGCCCTGTAAACAGGGCCCAGTTCATCTGCATGCTATCAACGCTATCAGTGTAGTTACGCAGGGCCCTACACTCAGATAGGCTTTTTGTCTGTAGTTCTGTCTTAATTCTTGATTTTATTTTTCAGTATGTAGTTTAGAAATGAAGTCTAATGGGACAATGGGACATGCCCTGGGGACTTGGAGCCTCAGCTGATGCATGGACTTGTTTTCTGCCACCTGCCTTGGTTGGGTTTTCAGTTGCTCCCTCACCCTCAGGCCTTCTGGCCCTACCCAGTAGTTTTTTTTTTGTTTTTGGCAGTACTGGGGTTTGAACTCAGGGTTTCATACTTTTCTAGGCAGATGCTCTACCTCTTGAGCCACTCTGCCAGGCCTTGTTCCTGCCCAGTGAGCACTGCCCTCTGCCCCACCTTTGTCAGGGTTCACTGTGTACTCCCTCCAGTGTCTAGGGAGGAGGCATGGTGGTAGCCATTCCCAACTAGAGCCAGCACTGCCACAATATATTCGGTGGTTTGAGGAAGTCTTAGTGAAGTTGCAGTGCCCTTGAAGTTCACCCACCTGCTGTGGGCTGGGTAGGAAGGCCAGCAGGAAGAGGAGATGCTTGGCTTGGTTTCTTTTTCTGCTAACAGGGGAACATGAAATGAGTCTAGCAGCTGGTAGAAGAATCCTGGCAGACAGTGGGTTGCATTGGGCCTCCAAGTTTCTGTGAGGGTCTATACTTATCCCAAAGGTATCCTGCTGTCCAGGAGATGGGACAATCAATAACAAATAAAAAACCACAATGACTAGTTGAGATTTCTTGGAAGAAAGGAAAAGCCTTTATACAGCAGCATATATATATATATATATATATATATTTTTTTTTTTTTTTTTTTTTTTTTTTTTTGGTGGTGGTACTGGGGTTTGAACTCAGAGGTTTGAGATTGCTAAGTAAGAGCCACACCTCCATCCCACACTTCAGTATCTTTAACAGTATCTTTTTCCTGTTTTTTGAACAATGGTCAAATATTCACTTTGCAATGAGCCCCATGTGCAATCTAAGTAGTTGGTCCCATGTGTAATCTAAGACAAATTTCAGAACCTCACTTTTCTCATCTGTAAAAGGAGAGGGGGGAGCTAAAATAATAAATACTGCATATTCCTGAATTTAAATAAGACCTTATCCTGATGCCTAGAACGTTGGAAGACAGCTATGCTCACCACCAACGCAGGCTTGCCTAGAACCTTAATGTACCAAATACTTGTTAGCTTAAGATAGATACAGAAGTCCAGTGGCTATACAAACTTGGAAGCAGTAGTAAAAAGTGAAGCTATGACAAGGAAAAATAGCTTTAAAATTTGGGTCAGACAACAATGTTGCCTCTTGCAAGATGCGGGCCCTTGGGAACTATTTTCATTTAATTTGAGGATCTTTTTGCATGCAGGCATTAATGAAAGTGTTTTTTCCTTAGAATGAGGAAGCTGGGCAAACGAGAATTTGAGGTTAGGACAACACACAGAAGATGTCCTAAAGTGTGCTGGGAGGGGATTGGGCAATTTGTTCTTAACTACCAACGTGTGACAAGTACACACTTTTGTATTTTCCTCCCTTGTAGGCATCCGTCCTTGATGGAATACCATACAGTCACTAAAAAGAACGAGGTAGCGCTCTAGTTACCAAAAGTGAAAGATAACCAGGCAATTTTAATTCAGAGGGAAAACCCTTATAATTCTAGGAAAATGTGCAGTCTCCTTTACTTAGAAAATATCTACGTGCAAGTCAACGCATTGACACAGGGCTAGAAGGTCACGCACTGTTATCTGTGACCGTCTCGGAGGAGGGCAGTGGGAGCAGTCTGAGAAAGTCTATGAGACGCTCACGTTTCTCCGTACAGTTCTGTCGTTTGACTCTTTTACGTTTCCACGCCTTCCTGAGAGGAAATGAAAACGTACTTTGACTGCCTTGTGTGAACAGCGAAAAGTTGAGGACCTGGCGGCTAGCCCTGTGGTCAGAGTCCAGCCTGAGGTGAGGACACCCCGCCCCGCTGAGGTGATTCTGCGGAGGGGCGGAGCTCTGCAGATCCGTGGCGGGAGGTGGCCCCAGGGGGCGGGGCTATCCGACTCCTGCCGCACGCTCCGCTCCCACTATGCCCTTATAAGGAGCGCCCAGCGTTAAGGCTCGGGAATCCGGTTGCAATCCCTGTGGCGCAGCCCCAAACCCAGACCCCTCCCTTGGGAATGAGGGCGGGGCGGGGCTTTGGCGGCGCGGTGGTGAGGGCGGAGCTTCTCGAAGAGGGACCAATAGGAGGAGCAGCTCAGGTCTTAGCGGCTATGCCATTGGGCGCCACCAGGCGAGAGGGCGGGGCTCCCGTGAGGAGGCTGGTTACGCCGAGGGAAGCCCCGACTCTGTAGTCGCTGCTAGGAGTCAGTCTCTTCGCCGGTTCCTGGCCCCGCCGATCCAGTTCTCTGTTGCCTGCGGTTCGCCGCCCCGCTAGCCGCCGCGATGCCGGTGTTTCATACGCGCACGATCGAGAGTATCCTGGAGCCGGTGGCGCAGCAAATCTCGCACCTGGTGATTATGCACGAGGAGGGCGAGGTGGATGGCAAAGCTATTCCTGACCTCACGGCGCCTGTGGCCGCCGTGCAAGCGGCGGTCAGCAACCTAGTCCGGGTAAGCGCATTGGGCCTGGCACGGGAGCGGGGGCGGGAGATGTGCCCAGGGTCCCGGTCCGCCTCGCAGCCTCTCTCCGCGGGCTGGCTGGCTGCCTGCCTGTGGATTTGCGCGTGGGTTCTAGTGCCAGATGCCGTGGGTTCGAATGCTGATCACCCCGATCTGTGACCTTGAGCAAGCCCCTGAGCTCTGGGGACCTCAGTTTCCTCATCTATGAAATGGGGGCAATCATAATGAAAACCTGCCTTGCGGGTGTATTGTGAAGATTCAGCGAGGTATTTATTTTTTGTATAGTGCCTTAGAGTGGCGTTTGCCCGAAGCAGGCGCCCATTAATGATAGTTGTTAGGCTGTTTTGATAGCTCCTTCCCTTGGGTAGTCCCTTACGTTAACTACCTCGCTCTCAACTCCTTTTTAGGCCTCTCCTATCCTGCCTGTGGGTGGGCGTGGGTTCTCCTACTGATTTCCTGCTGTTCCTTCCAGGGATTCTTACTTGAGCCTTGCTGCTGTCCTAATACTTCTGCCTGTCTCTCGAGACCTGCTTTTCCCACCCGCCCACTTCTCCCCAGGGCTCCGGGTTTCTGGTCCTTTTTTGCACTTGTCTTTCTGACCACTTGTCTCTTTGCTGCCTCCTCTTTCCCTCGGGGCATTTTACTTGTGCTTGCATTTACACCAGTCTCCATCACCTTTGTGCAATAATTCGTGGTCAGGAGCTCCATTTTTCCTTTAGCTTAACCCTGCTGCCTTTCGTTTTATTGGATCCTGAGTATAGATTTCCACCTGGTTTTACCTGCTGTCACAGGCTTCCTCCTACTGGGGCCTTTCCTGACTCGGGGGCCCTCCTCCTCTGCCCCTCCTTCTGGCAGGAAGCAAGATGGAGCTGCTGGGAGAGGCCTGTGGAATCTGGGATCTACAGCCCCTGCCTGAGAGAAGGCTGGGCAGTCCCTTCTCCAGTTCACACTTTTCCTGGTGGCCAGTGGCTCTGAATTCCTTGTAGCCTACAGTTGTGATTTATAACTGAGGTGATTCCTACAGGAGGTGGATCTCACTTCTGAAACGGGGGTGGGGAGATATCGAGACTTGTCTCCTAACAGTCCCTTGGCAAATGTCACACTTAATGTCCTACTCTGGTTGTGTGACTCAGACTGCTGCTGCCTATGAAGAACAACTCTGGAAAAAGTTCATACTGCTTGCTTACCGAGCTGTGTAAATAGTGTGTGTCTGGGTGATTGGGAGGTAACTGTGAGTCTTGGTGGGGCTTGGATTATTTATCTGATTAGAATACATGAGTGCCTTTAGAGGTACTAAGCAGTAAAGGTCTTCCCAAGTCTTTTGGGGCCTTGGGCTGTCTCAGGCAGTTCAGAAAGGCTCAGATTTTGGATGTGATAGGGAAAATGGGAAAGGAATTAGCTAGGAAGACAGGAAAGACACCAGAGACCAAATTCATGATCTTTCTTCTGTAAATAGATTTAGTAAGAATCTATTCAGTAAGAAGACCATATTCATTCAAAATATCTAATTCTACATTTCCTTGTTCTCTTTATAACTAATTTTAATCTAAGACTCCAGAGTACATTCTTATGTAGTGTTGTCTAACATGGCAGCCTTCCAGGCCTCCATTTTTCAACAAATGGGAAACAATGTAAAGAGACAAGGTAACAGTGTCCCTCCATGTAGTACTTCAGGAAATGAAATCTTAAAACCACATGTTGCTCTTGGAACACAGTGCAGTCAGGGGTTGATATCTGGCTCAGCTATTTAGAGAAAAGTTATTTATGAACTTCCATGCCATGAATTAATAAGCATTGAATGTGTTGCTGTACAAAGAATATTGTAATAAATTAGTGGTTCTCAGAGTATGCATGAGAATCACCAGTGGGGGCTTTTCAGTTGTAAAGATGTCCAGCTCCCATCTCAGACTTACCAAAGAGCTCTCAGGGGTGGGGTCAGGGCCTTGTATTTTAACGAAGCTTCATAGATGATTGTGATATACATCTTTGTTAGAAAACACTTTAATAGGCACTGAGGCAAATTAAAGAGAAATTAGGCCAATCACAAGCTGAAAAAAATTACTTCTCAATGCATACTAAAGAAAGGATTTGAGATTGGTGATAGATCTGAATTAGCCAGAGAGAAAGTGGAAAGGATTGTGCTGATAGTCATGAACAAAGGTACTGGTAAGTCACTTCCAGGCTCAGCAAGTGGATTGTCTTGATCGCAGTTTAGGAGGGAAATTGGAGAGAAATTAGAGATGAAGTCAGCGCATGATATATGGACAGTTTAACAGAAGACCTTATCCAACAAGATGAACAAAGAGAGTGGGAGGGGAAGCATGAGAATGGTGTGTGAAGAAAAGACTTGGATTTTATTCTGGGGAGGCCAGAGGATCTACCCAATGCTTTGAATTCTCAGGTCCAGTTGTGCCTTTTAAATATATGGATTCTATACATGTCTCAAGTTGCCAACTAGATTGTGTCTAGAGAATAGATTTTATTTGATACATATTTTTTTTTTTTTTCTGCTCCCCAGTTGCTCCCTTCAACATTGGGACACAGATGGCTTTATAAATATTGTTGAAGGAAAAGAAACTATAGTAAGGCTAAGAAGTTAGAAGACTTTACAAATTAGTTGGTTATGAAGAAAATGGAGAAGGGATTCATTAGAAATCTAGTAGAAGTAATACAGCTCTATAATAGAACTCAGCTTGTTTGCAAGAAGCATATGCTATTAATATAAAATAATGAGACTGATTTTTGAGCAAATATTCTGTAATTTATGTAATTTGAGCGATTGTTTCTTGGGATTTATTTTATCCTTATTACATCGCTTTTCTTTTTCTTTTTCTTTTATTCATTTATTTATATGTGCATATATTGTTTGGGCCATTTCTCCCCGCTGCCTCCCACCCCTACATTGATTTTCTTTGGGAATTTCTTTCAGATTATTTACATATGTATGCCAAGTTAGGCTTATTTTGATCAAGAAAAATATACATTTTGACTGGTAGAATTTCTTGAACCTAGCTACTTTATTTACCATTCTTGATCTAAATGACTTTTGGATATTTCCAGAATTAAAAGTTACTAGATGAAGATGAAATTGTCAGTTGTTTAGCATAGTCATTCATTTATAAAACAGACTTCATTGAATATCAAAGCAGTAAGCATGGTAACTGGGCAGAATAAGTGTGATAATAGATTGAAAGTCTTAAGTAGCACACAGGAAGTAAAATACTGATGAAGATGAGATAACTTCTGATGGGAGATCTGGAAGGCTTCATGGAGAAAGTAGCATTTGTACTGGGCATTTAACTCAGAGATTAGAACATTTAAAGATGTGGTAAGAAATGCCTTACAAGCCAGAAGTTTCAAGAATATGAGGGCCAAGTTTTGACTTAGAGGACCATTAAGGTAACTGCTTTTTGGGGAACAGGACTCATTCGGATTTATAATTCCACGTATTTTTGTTAAGCAAAGTAGTCTGGTCACCATAAATTACAACTGAGCCATCATTTTGTACCCTTACAGAAAGGGTGGGATGAGAATATTTATTTATTTTTATGTTCTTTGTTTCTACTCAGGATCCTGAATAAGACCACTTTTGAAACAGCTTTGTTGAGATATAATTCGTATACCATAGTTTCACCCATTTAAAGCACAGAAGTTCTTGGTTTTTCTTGTTTTGTTTTTGCATATTTACAGAGTTGTGCAGCCATCACTGTGACCTAATTTTAGAACATTTTCAACTCCTCAAAAAGACCTATTAGCAGTCACTCATTCTCTCCCCAATCCCTCTACCTCCCCAGCTCCTGGCAGTTACCAATATACTTTCTGTCTATGTGCATCTGCCTATTCTGGACATTTTGTAGAAATGGAATAATACAGTATATAGGCTTTGTGTCTGTTTTCTTTCATTTAGCGTAATATTTTTTGCTTTCATCCATGGTGTAGCAATTATCAGAAATTTATTTTTTGTTGCTAAACTGTACTCTATTGTATGGAATAAGGCCATTTTAAACACAGAGCAAGTAAGTTCAATGCGATAATAAAGCAAGGGAATGTAAGTAGGAAAGGGAAGAGTGGGAAATGAGAAGTAGAGGCACACAAGAGATTCTAAGAATAGGATTCAGTAAGCAGTATGAAAAAGAAGTCTTAGGCTGTCAGTCTTCTAGCATGGTATATAAATTTTTCTTTTTCTTTTCCCATTGAAGTGCTCTATAGAAAACTGTCAGTCTTTGATGTGACCATTACAGTCATGTCAGTTTTATTAATGGGGCCTCAGATACTTTGCCTTCCCCATTGCATCTGAGGGCATGTGTTGTAACTATTCCTTGAGCTCATGAAATATTTATTTGGAGAGTTTTTGTGGCCTTGACTTTTATGGTCCTCACCCATATATCATATGCTCTTGGGACCAGTTCTGGGACAAATAGTACCATTGTCTTCACTTTAAACTGATAGATGGGAAAGGCTGCTCTGCTCTTAAAAGAAATCGGCAGTTAATTTTGTTACTTGTTATCAATATTAACGTCTGAAATTATTTTTGCTTTCATTTCTCTTAGTCAGTGTTGCACTTATTTCAGTTAAAATAAATAACAATATCTGAGTGATAGACCTGTGGGTGACTTTTTCTTCTTAATATTTTTGTATATTTTCTAATTTAAAAAATTAACATACTCATATTAAGCAAAAATAATAAGAACATTTGCATAATCCCTTAATGAAATACTTTAATGTGGGTGATCTTATTGCAATCCTGTGGGTAGATATTGTGTGGTCCCCATTTTATAGATGAGGAAATTATAGTTTAGCGAAATTAAGTAGCCTCCCTATAGCTAGTTAGCTTGGACTTAAACTCTGGCTCTCTTACTCCAGATCCTCTGCATTTTTCACTTCAACATTCCATATCTACTTAGATCAAAGTTGTTAAATATTAGTGAAGGTTTTCTACTTAGAATCAGAAGCAACAAAAATGCTGTTAGTCATAGAGTTTCCATTTGCCC